TTGTGACCGCCAGCCATTAAAAAAGTATTTTCATTGCTACTTCCTAACTAACTTCCCTACTGTTTTGAATCGTCTTGTAAATACCTGATATGCAGGATATTTGATATACAACCTCCACCTACAGGTTGAGAACCACTGTCTTTCCTAGACTCTACCTATGTTTGCATTTATATGCTAAGTGTTTCTTCTTGGAATGGCTCTAGGGATGCCATGACAAACCCCTAGAAGAGTAAAAACTAGAGGAAATTGGACTCATATAACTGTGCTGAAACATAGTATCTGAAATCAGGATGGTCACTAGTAAAAAGAAAACAGAACCAACAAATACAGACTAGAAGAAAAAGGGACTTGGCAGGTCTCTTAATGTTGGTATTAGCATGACACAGATAAATGCCAAGGAATCTCAGCTGCTAAAGAGCTGAGTAAGATCTTTAAGCCCAGTGGTTGACTAACATAGTGAGAGCATGCAAAATACTTTTTCTACAGTAGATACAGCCACGTGGAAGTCGCCAGTGAGAATGAGAGGATGAGAAACAGTCAGATTTGGGGTTCTTATTTTCTTTTTATTATTATAATTTCAGATGCATTGATTTCCGTTTATAGGAAATCAATAGATAGGAGCGGGGTTTACTGTTGGGAAGGGGACAGTGAAACATGGGGAGGAGCAGGTAAAGCAGCTCTGGCTGCTGGAGACTATGGCTGCAGGTTCAATTTTTGAGGCAACTGGAGATTTGAATCAGTCTTCTCTTTACTGCTTTCAGTTCTTCAACTTAGTGGGAAGTAGGCTATATATTTTAGATATTTAGAAACCAAAAAAATTCTTTTTTTTATTGCATATGATATGGAGAATGATATAACATTTCTAAAATATTTTAACTTATTGCTGAGGCGTAGTTGGTTTCACTGAAAAACAAATTAGATTTTTCAACTCCAAATCATGTGTACTAACATTTCTACAGATTTGAGCTCAGGAAACAGGGTGACCATAATCTCATTTTCTCAAGTTACTTCTTTTCCAGCCATACTTCTGACTTTGGAAAATCTTCTTCGCACTCTTCCTGCCCCCACCCCCACATTTGTTAATTAGCTTATTTTCTAAACTGACACAATATTGAATGTATTTCTGGGGAACCTCCTTTCTCCCCAAACTTTCTCATCTCCCCACGCTCAGACCCCCAGACCTGTTGCACAGTAACACCCCACCACTAGCCTGTAGTCTTCATTCAGCCCTGTGTCTCAGAATTTCAGTGTTCTTTAGTTCATTTGGCATTTTTCTTTTGTGCTCGCCTTCAAAAGATGTTTTCGAGGTTGTTGCCACATGTATTATTAGAGTCTCTTTTGAAAGCCCTGATCATGGACACTTAAGCCGCCTCCACCATTTGGTTCTTGTAAATTGAACTCCTGTAATCAATAAACCATTACATCTCTACTTTCACCTTTGATTAAATACCTAGAAGTAAAGTCTTGAGTCATGGTGGTAATGTTCTTAATTTTTTTGGAAACCACAGTTAATGCTTTCCCTAGCACCTGTGCACATAGCTCCAGTTAACCCACCGTCTTCACCACTACTTGTTTTCTGCTTTTTGTTTACAGCCATGCTGACAGGATAGAGTGCTGTTTCCTTGTGGCTTTGGGGTTCATTTCCTGACTGTCTCCTTACTAGCTTGTTGGTAATATAGCCTCTATTTCTAACTAGCAATAAGCAAGTCTTGTTTGTTTGGTTTTAAATGCATCTTATAAAATTAGATCTGCTTAATCTTTAATGTTTTTATTGTTTGGAAGAACTATAGAGATCCTCCGCATTCTTAATTTAAAATCCATCAGTGGTTTCAGAATTCACGAACAGCTTACACAAAGGCTCTCAAGGGCCTATGATAACCCAAAACATAGGAACATTTTTAATATGGCCCAGAATCATAAAAATGCTAATTATCTTTTGTTGTATCATACAAAGATGATTATCATATTTCTACTTTCTACTTTTCTGTATTTTATGAAGTATTTTAAATAAGCATTGGTCTACACGATTTCTTTTTTTAAAAAGTAAATGGTAGTTCAGAGCATTAAAGGTAAAAATCCATGATTGATTCTTAGATCATAAAAAATAAATCTACAAACTAAGGAGAAATAATGGATATGTTATGTTCTTAAGTTTGCTGTCCTTCTCTTAGGGCCTCCATATTTCTAAGAATATGCCTTTGAAAAGAATAGTCAAGGTGGGGAATCTGATGCCCTCTTCTGACCTCTAAGTACACCAGGCACTTACATGGTTTATATACACACATGTCAGCTGTCCTAGAGTTTCTGTTGTTGTGATAAAATACTATAACCAAAGCAGCTTAGGAAGGAAAGGATTTGTTTCTCTTATACTGTCACACCACAGTCCATCATTGCAGAAAGTGCAGACAGGAACCCACAGGCAGGAATTGATGCTTACAAGCTTGCTTCTGGTGGCTTGCTCAGCCTGCCTTCCTATAGTACCCCAAACCTCCAATTCAAGAATGGCACTGCCCACAGTGAACTGGCCTTCCCACGTCAATCATCAGTCAAGAAAATGTACCACAGGCTTATCGATGGGACATCTCATGGGGACATTTCCTCAAATAAGACTTTCCTTCCAAAATGACTAGCTTATGTCAACTTGACATAAAACTAGATATTTTTGCACGTAAAATAAATCTTAGAAAAGGAAATAATGGTTAAGCTTTGACTGCTTCAAAAAAGTGACCTCTACCTTTGGATGTGTCTCCCTCAGCTCACAACATTGATCTGTATTCGCCTTTTATAATGAGTGTTACTGTAAAGAAATGTGCAGCTTACAAAAGCAACCTCTCCCACTGAATCTGCTTCCATTGAATTTCATCAAAAAATTGTATTACTCTTACAATAAGATTTGTTACTAGTTTTTGTTTTTACACGGTGCTTTCTATAATAATTTTCAAAGATGCCAAGGGTGGAGGGCAGGAGAGAGAAGAGCACTCACTGCTCACAACATGCTGTGAACCCAGCTCCTGGGAATCTGATGTCTCTGTGGCCACCTGCATATATGAGACGGACACTCAGACTGATGCACATAAATCAAATGTCTAAAATACTCAGTGTTGGACTTTTAATTCTAAGCCATTAGTCATATAATTAAAAGCAATCTAAAGACATTTAAAGAGCATTCTAAAGCATCTTATTAAAATTCATTATCACAAAAACCAGAGTTCTCAAACCAGACCAATGACTCACTGCAATGAAGTGAAGATGTGTACAGAGAGGGATATGCTTGGGACACACTGTGACAAACTACAGCTTCCACAACGAGACGTTTTCTGTGCTTTGTTTTGTTTGTGTGTTTTCTATTCTCTTTTATGGGGGAGGATGCAAGGACAGAGGGCAAATACGAGGGGGTGAGGAGATGAGTGGGACTGGGGTGCATGATGTGAAACTCACAAAGAATCAATAGAAAGTTAAAAAAAAAATCATTGTCACACTCCCTCACCGCCTCAGTGTAGTCCAGGTACAGCTGTGTTCCTCTCCTGTTCAGTATATATTTTGTACACCTCATCTTAAGTATGGGGGACACAGTCCAAGAGTCTTAGTGAAACTCACTAAGTGTAGAAATGGTCATGTCTGAATTACCACTGACATTATTCTTGAACATGAGTTATTTGAACACATGCTTGTGATAGTCTGTTTTAGACAGCTACTAAGTGACTAATGGGTAGGTAGCACATATATAGCACAGACACACCAGAAAACTCCATGTTCTGTGCAGGATGGAGTACTATTTCAGCATGCTGCCAGAACATACCTCATTTCAAACATTCATTTCTGGAATCTTGCATTTATATTTTTTGAATTTATTTATTTGTTTATTAAATTTATTCACTTTGTATCCTGACTGTAGCCCCTTCCCTTGGCTGCTCCCAGTGCTCTTCTCCTCCTATGCCCCTTCCCTAGCCCACTGATAAGGGAGGACCTTCTCGCCTTCTATCTGACCTTAGCCTATCAGGTTTCATCAGAACTGGCTGCATCATCTTCCTCTGTGGCCTGGCAAGGCTGCACTCCCTAGGGGGAGGTGATCAAAGAGCCGGCCACTGAGTTCACGCCAGAAACAGCCCCTGCACCCCTTACTAGGGAACCCATTTGGAAACTGAGCAGCCTGTGGGCTTCCTCTGAGCAGGGGTTCTAGGTCCTCCCCATACTCTTGGTTGGAGTATCAGTCTCTGCAGGACCTCCTGGGCCCAGGTATTTTAGGTCTGTTGTTCTCCTTGTGGAGTTCCTGTCCCCTACAGGTCTTTCTAGCTCATACCCCTTCTTCCATAAAGTTTCCTGCACTCTGCCCAAACTTTGACTGTGAGTCTCAGCATCTCCTTCGATATCCTGACAGGTAGTCTTTCATGGGCCCCCTATGGAAGGCCCCTGTCCTGTTTCTTGTCTTCTACTTCCAATGTCTATCCTGTTTGTCCTTCTGAGTGAGGATTAAGCATCTTCCCTAGAGTCCTACTTGTTGTTTAGTTTCTTTAGGACTATAGATCTTAATATGTTTATCCTATATTATATGGCTAATAACCCATTATAAGTGAGTATATATCATATATATATATATATATATATATATATTTTTTTTTTTTTTTTTTTTTTACTGCTTCTAGGTTACCTCACTAAGGATGATCTTTTCTAGTTCCCACCATTTGCCTGCAAATTTCATGATTTCCTTGTTTTTAATTGAATTACTGTTAGCCTAGGTAACTGAAAGCATTGATTATTGGGGTCTTTAAATTCTAGCTTGGCCTGTCCTTGGCCTAGAACTGAATGGTCTTGGCTTTGGCATTTTTTTGGCATATATGCCTGCTGTGCTCTAAGGTTTACAATGTGCTGCTTCTTCACAGTCCTACCTGAGATGAAGCCCAGAGCCTTGCAATGCTTGACAAGTGCTCTCTGTCCTGAGCCACATCTTCAGGGCCATAGGTCTATTCCAGTTTGTAAGTTTCCCGGCTTTCATTTTACAGCTGTATGCAGGAGCCATTCTTGAAGTCTGTGGATGAAAATTGGGGAGGTTCCCTCAAGTCCAAGGTATGTAGCAATCATTTAAAGTAGTCATTTACAAGAATAATTTTACTCAACATTTCCAGGAATATGGAATTTCAGAAGCACACTCTACTGTAATAATGTATGAATGTTTGACATTCTTTTTTCTGGGGTGGAGCTTAAATAGGAATTGATTCTGATCACATTATTTTTAGAAACAAACACAACATATGAAAGTTAGATTTAAAACAGCATGAAATGATTCTTTAAAAGATACTCTTGTCAGGTATAAATTTTAGGGTGGCTTTTCTTTTAGCAGATGGAAATAAAATTCCTTCAAATAACGCATTCTAGTACTTTTTTTTTAGCATAAGTTACAGAACATTGCATTAAGGTAGAGTAGACCTATCCAGTGTGACAAACCAGCAGGAAAAGAATTAATTACCACAGAATTTAGGGGTACACTAGAGGGTCATACAGTGTCATCGTAAAGAATTTTAATGATAAATAAGTTAAGAAATAATTGTCAAAGTGTGTTCTTGCAATTAGCCATCAAACCACGATGGAGCCTCGCATCTCCAGGAATCCTTCACGAGGATTTTATAGTTTATTTTGCATGTTTACCTTGAAAATCAGTTTTATGAGCATACAGGGCATGTGGCGGTGCTTGTGTTTAATCCTACCACTTGGGAAGCAGAGCCAGGTGGGTCACTGAGTTCAAGGCCAGCCTGTATACAAAAATGAGTTCTACTACAACCAGAGCTACACAGTGAGACCCTGTCTCAAAATCACAAAAGGTTTTGGGGTGGGGGGTGTTGTCAGGTTTATGAAGTGGAATGGTTGGCTCTTTGTGAGGCTGCAGCACTGGAGTCATAAGCATGAGCCAACACAGGCAGCTTTCTTTCTACTGTTCTGTTTTGATTCTTGCCACAAGCGCAGGCCTCCTCACCTGTTGCAGCCTCCTGCATGCTGTGCTTGCAGAGTGCATGCCCATGCTTAAATTCATATAGAATTTCTCACCTGCCCATCATGACCTTGTAAGATCCGTCATGAAACTGCCTTAAAAGTGCAGACTAGGTGGGATCTCAGGTGGGAAGTGGTGGCCACTAGTATTTTCCTTACATTCTACAAGTTAAGATATTTAGATGTCTTCTTCCAGAATCAATAATATTAGTAATAATAACTCATCTGGAAAGGGTACAGTTGTTCCATGCTTTTCCTGGGTTTCACTTTCTGCTTCCATATGTAACAACCCTAGCGTGTGAAATATAATTGTAATGTACAATAGTTAAACTGGAGGATACAGTAAATAACAGTGTCACAGGATGCCGACCTTTAATAAAAACTCGCTTTCGGGACTTTGCTTATAACTTGCACAGCACCAGGAGATTTCCCTCTCTCCTGACTGACTAGGCTCTGTATTTATGTTGGTGGATTAAGTACATTCCTGCATTCGGAACTAAGAGCACTGGACTTGAGAAACTTATTTAGTTTCCTGGTTGACTAAAGCTTAAACATTTTGTTTGCTGAAAGTATGCTAAAAGGTATACGTCCTTTGTCTGTGCTAAGGATGGCCGAGACCCTGCATATGCCCCACCAACATTCTGCTGCTGAGCTATGTCCCTAGCCCTCTAGCATACATTTTAATGCACTTTTTCACTTTCTTCATCAAAACTGTGGGACTGTTTCCACTGTTACAAAATGTCAGATTATAGTAATAAATTATTTGACATGAATAGAGAAAAAGGTCTTTTGGAGCCTTTAATATATTTATGATATATTCTCTTTCTGTTTTTGGGGGGAGATTATAAGGGAAGAAGGCTGGTTAGAAGGGATCGAGATGAGTGGGATTGGGATACATGATATGAAATTCACAAAGACTCAATTAAAACTTAAGTAAAAAGGAGAGATTATTTATGTTAAAGAAAGGACATTATCTTCAAGTTGATTTTTAAATTTTCAGTTCTTTAGTTCCTTTTTTTCTTACACATATCTTTGTCATTTCAACATCTTTCTCTGAACTCAGAAGTGCTTATTACCTGTTAATTTAACATCATGTGGGCTGAGGTATACCTTATTGGTAGAGTAGCTATCCAGAGTGCTAGCCTGAGGTCTTGCTGGGTTTGATCCCTGGCATCGGAGAAGTTGAGGGAGACAAAGAGAATGAAAATATTTACATTTATTTGTCTTGGAGCTGGGGATTGAATCTCAATCCGGCAACATGATTTTGCTTTTCTTAAATTTTCATTGCACACAGCCCTGGGCTGCATAACATTTTCATACAGGTATATAACATGCTTTGAGCATTACTACACTCCCACCCCACCCCCGATCTCCTCCATTGGCTCCCTTGCTTCCCCTAGACAGTCTCCCTTCTACTTCCGACTCATGCAAAGACTCAGTTGTATATTATCTGCAAAACCTAGGAACCAAGCAATGTTTGTCTTCCCAAGACTGACTCAGCACTTAATATGAATTTTTTTGTTGTTGCTGTTGTTACTTTTATCTTTATTTCTTGGGTTTCTAACACAGTCATAGCTTTCATGGCATTAAAGAATTCATGCTGTCATATAGTTTGTACAACACAGTGAATATATATATTCTCAAATAATTGTTGAAAACTTTTTTTGCTGCCTGTAAACCATGATTTGCCTGTTACAATACTCCCCTCTTTCATAATTATGCTTCTAGATCTATGTTTAGCAAAAAAGAAAACTTCCTGGGACTGGGCATTAGTAATTCATCATGGCATTCCTTATCAGCCTGTCTGCTCAGTCCAGCCCATTAAAATGCACTTGAATGAGTGGAATTATTAAATGTACTGGCAGCTCTGCTTGCTGTACAGGAAGGATTTTAAATAGGCCATTTTCCATAGTGGTTTCTTGCGTAGTTGAGAAAGTGGCTTGAATAGCTAGAAGGATGTTAGATGATGCTTTGCAGGCATGCATTTAGGATTAAACAGTCAGGTAGCCTAATACGGTGTTTATTGACCATATCACATTTTTAGTCAATCTATTTGCATTTTTTTTCTTTATTTGTAAGATCTCTATTATGTGTTAAATTGCAGTTTTTGCCATTTTTTTCATTCTTGAATTTTGTTACTAGCAGTGTTCTGCTTCCCTGAAATTCCTATTTTTATGTACACACATCTGTAAAACATTTCCTTTAGGATCATGCAAAAGAGAAAAATTTTATATTTCATATTCATTAAGCTCTTTGTATTATAACTTTGATGATATTCCAAGTCACTCCCTTTTGGTCTCAGGGATTATTTGTTTAGTGTCTTTCTTTATCAGATTATAAATTTAATAAGGGGACTAAATACATTTTATGTATCAGACTTTTCCCTTTGCTCTTTGCCACACAGTAAATAGCCAATAAATATCTTTGCAAATGTAAGTTTTTACTCCATCTTTAATATATTTAAATATAAGATGATATAGGTTCCAGTTTTTTCTAAGTATTGCCAGTTTCCACTGGATGATCCACACAAGCACACCCCTCAAGTGCATACGTCCCCACCGCCCACCACCCCCATCTGTTGGCACCTTCGTCACGTGAAGATCCTTAGCTATTTCTCTTTTGAAATTTCTGATTCAGCTTAACTGTTGTAGGATGAGAGTCACATATTCTTAAACTGATTTCTCATATTTCTTTTGAACTGCCTCAGCTATTCGCAGCTGAGCTGTGCTGTTATTCTGTCAAGCCCACAAAACTACCATTGGAATTTGGGGTATTGGTTAATTTGAATCAATGTCGATTCCTCTACATCATCATCTGTTTAAATTTCCTTGGTTTTCAAGTAGGACATACCTGGTTTATTTCAACATCTAGATTAATCTTCATAGCTAGCTTGGATTTAGATGTGACTTATTTGAATCTTTTTCTCTTTTAAGCTTTTGTCAGAAGTGATAAACCCAAACTGTTCAGAGGTCTACAGATCAAGGTAAGGGCCGGTGCTGGGGTCCTTTAACTTAAAGAGTAGTTTGTGATTTGTGTAAAAGCAGAGCCAAATGTCTCCATAGACTTAGACTGTATTCTCCCACTCTAAGTTTCTCACTATAAGAGACTGTGTTGGGTGGTGTGGCGCACTGACTGAAATTAAAAACACTGTTTGTTCTACTTTTAAAAATGCTGTTTCATGGTGCGTTTTTCTTTTTCATAAGCTTCCTTTTGCCAAAATACAGAAATAGCAGACTGTTTTAAACTGAACAACTTCTTGTTCATTAATCTTTGCCCATGGTTTTTGTCATGTAATATTTAAAATTAAGTCTGTTTTTTAAAGCTAATAAGACAATGAATATAAACCTGAGCCTCAGCAAACATATTGCCTTCACTTGGAACCAGTCATAAGTTCAAGATTCTTTAAGACTGTTTGGCCGTGTTCTCAAGTAGCTGAGCCACATGTACTTGTGCCAGCAGTCAGCGCTCATCTCTGGCCTCAGAGGCATGACTGGTGACTGAGGTGAAGCCGTTCTATGCTTAACAACTCTGCCATGTTTTATGGGGGTGGGCTTGGATGGGTTTTGGTTTTTGTTCTGTTTTGTCAAATAATTTCGTGTGCCTGCTGTTGTGGGTTTTCTCGTCTTACCTGGTAATTGTAAGGGGGTAATTGTAACTAACTAATTTTTTGAGTGTTATGCCAGCCTTGCATGTGCTAAGCATTCAGCAGTCCTAATTCTTTACACCTTATTGTTTTGAGTTGCTAATAATTTTGTTCAAAAATTCCCTAATTGAATTATAGTCTAGCTAACCTATTTGGGGTTTTATACAAAGACAAACTTCAAATAAATATTTAAAATTTTAGAAATAGGTTGTATAGTAGCCTAATCAGAAATGTTTAGGTATTGTTCTCAGTATTGTCACTATTAACTCTTTAGTCTAAACCCACACAAGTAATTGGGAATAAGCTAGGTGCTTAGCATGTATAAGGGCCTAGTACCACAAAAATCAAAAAGATAATAATATTAGAACTTACCTCCATGGCTAGAGTTTTAACTCTAAAACTCTAAAACCGAAGCACATAGGGGCTAGAGAGTGGCTGAGAAGTTCAGAGTGCTTACTGTTCCCACAGAGGACCCAAGTTCAGTTCTCAGCACCAGCATAGCCACTGTCACCCACCTGTAACTGCCGCTCCAGGGAATTCAAGATCCTCCTCTGGAGATAGCCCAGAGATACTGCACAGACATGGCATGTCCTCACCCATACCCCCACACAAAATAAAACGAAATCTTTAGCAGCAGAAGCATAGTAGCTGGTAGTAGCTTTTCACCACTACATTTTTAGTTGTAGTTTTATTTAATTTGGAAGCTAATTTGATCTTAATAAGTGCGTTCAGTTTACTGTCTTAAACTGTTTTGCATTTGTCTGTCACTGCCGTTAAGTGTTAAGTTCACTGGATCTGAGAGAACCATGTGTAGAATAAGTTCACATCCAACAATGGTCTTTAAATCGGCTTAAATTTTTCCTGTACTAACACAGGCTTTTCTTTTTGAAGTAACATGTAGTTTTCTTAATTATTATAGTTTGAGAAATCACATTTGAGTCTTTGTTGAAAAGACTTTCTGTTGGTTGTGATGTTGTAAGTAAAAGCTTTTAAATTGTTAGCACGATGAACTCAGCCATTTTGCTCTTGGCTGAGAGTGAAAAGTCTTCAGTGCAGACAATGATGATAATGTCTCTGCTTTTGTAGTACGTTCGAGGTTCAGACCCTGTACTAAAGCTTTTGGACGACAACGGGAACATTGCAGAAGAACTAAGCATCCTCAAGTGGAACACAGACAGTGTGGAAGAGTTTCTGAGCGAGAAGTTGAAACGCGTATAAGCCTTGCTTAGTTGTTCTTTTGTTACTTATCAAATGAACTATCACGGCACCTAGAAAATACTTTACCTTTGCATGCTTCCACTGGTCAATCTTTTACGTATATCATTAATCTTCTAATTAGAAGTTGAAGTAGCACCATGGCCCATAATATGCAAGGATCTGGCAAGCTTGACAAGCTCATTTCTTAGAAAGTTCTATTCTTCTGCACTTGTTGATATCACCAGTAAAATGCTTTCTAAGAGGCTTCTGGTTAATTATGCAAACAGTAGTTTGTAATAATTGGTCCACTTTTATAAACAATGGAATTTAAATAGGGGAAGTTAATAAAGGAGACCCCCTCCTTTGCTCCTTTTGAAAGTAATTGATGTAAAACAACAAAACAAGTAGGACATACTGAGCCTCAACAACATGCCTGCTCCTCAGAGCCTTCAGATCTTTTGTATTGCCCAGCTTTCTTTTAGTAGAAGTATATTTGTAGTTTGTAATGAATGTACCACATAAAATTTTTGTAGCCTTATTATTATGGAACAGATTGAAGATCTGCAGTAAGAGTGTGCTAATCATAAAGGTTTGCATTAATGAGGATCACACAGAAAACCTTTGTTAAGGATTTGTGTAGATCTGATAATTGGCAAATTTTTATGTTTTAAATATTCTTACAAAAGAGTTCCATTTAAGAATGTTCATTTATTGGACCAAAATATAAATAAAAACTTTCAAACGTTTGATTTTAAATTAGTTTGTCTTTTCATGTTTCTCAACAAATTCTTGTTTTTCATATAAGCTCTTTTTTAAGCCAAAATACAAAAGTGACTGTATTATTTGGAACTTCATAGCTTCTTTTGTAAACTGTGGAAATTGGTTATTAATTATCAGCTCTCTTTTGTCATGTAACATCTAAAATCAAGTCTTCCTAAGTCAGTAAGGCATTGAGTACAAACCTGTGTGATTCAGCCATCATAACAGTATAAAAAATTCTGGCAAAAGATTCTCTGCTTTTGATCATTGTGGTGATGCCAAGGGCGGCTCTTTGAAAGCGCAGGTCTTGGTGAATGTGCCGTTGTCCCTTAGTGGTTATTGCTATTTTAGAACAAGAGGGAGATTAAGCCGGTTGTGGACAGAGACGTTGCCACCACAGATAGAAGAATAGAGGTATTGAAGAATGGAACTTCAAAAAAGAACTTCTGGCATTGACGTAGAAAATAAATTGGACTGGTTTCCGGGCAGGAAGAGCCCAGTTAAATGAGTATTTGACTGGGGAGGAGGGAGCAAGATTGCTAAAAAGAGGCCTGAAAAGTCTGTTGTCTTCAAGTGATGAGAGACCAGAGAAGCCAAACCCACAGTCTCCAGAGCTGCAAGCTCAGAGCTGTGGCTGATGGGTGGCTACTTCGTCCCACATGTTAATTGGAAGCTTCAAGTTAATCAGCCAACTCAAAGCGGGTTCTGCCAATTGAAATCAAAGAACAGCTTTTTAAAGGAAACAAAACTACTGATTACTAAGAACGGGGTATACATTGTGATCTAAAAAGTGCCATTTTATACCCAAATCCTGGTGCTTGATTGAGCTTATTCAAATTCACAAACATTTGTGACTTTTTTCCCCTGTCAAAATTTTTGTTACTAACAACTTTAGTTGTTTCGTTATCCCTAAATTTGGCAGAGTTTTTTTTGTTTGTTTTTTTGTTTTTTGTTTTTTTTATAAGGACCTGTGATCAAGAACTGCCTTTTTCTGTTAACAGAGCTGGAGCTGGAAAACAATTCTAAAATCAAAAGCTGAGTGTTCTCACTTGTTCTCTCTTTCTCTCTCTCAGAGACGCATACCATGTGGACACATAGGCTGATAGAGATGAGGCCTGAGACTCCTAGGCACATAATTGCTCACTTCTCCTGGGAACAAAGGTTCCATATTTACACAGTTTTGCTCAAGTGGAATTCACATAATAAAGTGCACTTACAGTGCACAATCCCATGACTTTTTAGTGTGTTCAGAATTGCACAACCATAACTGTGGTATGACGCTTCTACATTTTAACACTCCAGAAGGAAATCCCTCCCATTGGCAGTCATTCCCCATGCCGGCTTCACCATCCGCACACATCCTCTCCGTGTCACAGCAGGGCTCAACTCTGCAATAACGTCGTTCATGTCTTTATAGTCAGATAGCATCTGTACACGCTCCTCACATACTGTTACTCTCTGAGTGCAGTTGTGTGTCCCCCCCTTAGGCTTCCTTATGTTTATGAAAGTAGAGTTACCTGTTTATCTTTGTTGTTAATTATTTGAAGATATAATCCAGGGTTTTGCATGTGCTGGGCAAGTCCCCTGACATCAAGATAAAACTCCAACCTCCCTGCCCAGGCCCTTAGGTTTCACCTGTTGAGGAAGTGTCAAAATTTTCCAAAGTGGCTTATTTCCGTTTTGTACTCCTATCAGGAATGGCAGCAATTCTTACGTATCCTGAGATTTCTTTTATTTGAGGGAGGGGTCGTTGGAGGCAGAGTTTTTCTGTGTAGACCTGGCTATCTTAGAATTTGTAGACCAAACTGGCCTTGAACTCACAGAGATTCCCCTGCCTCTGCCTCCTGAGTGTTGGATTAAAGCCGTGCACCACCATCACCCAGCTTCGCTTAAAGGGAATACTCATTGTATGAGCATAGCCATTAGATGCTTTAAGGACTTCATTCTCCACTAAATGGTGCATTGTATGTCTTCTCTGCTTTCCATTATTTTACTCATTTTCCTTCTCCCCAGCCTCAGTCATGAGACCAGAACCAGTCACTCTCTGATCAGAGGCAACCTTTAAACAGCTCAAAACAAAGCACACAATTATGGTTACAATAACCAAGAAAGAAAGTCACTGGGAGAAAAGCACAAAAGAGACAAATGTGGTTAGGGATCTTTGAGAATGTGACAAACTAAAGTCTGAAAGATAAAAGCTGTCAAGAAAAGGTGAGTGTAAAGTGCCCTCTGGTCAGTGTAAACAACCACTCTGACCTCGGGGTGAGTGTGTGTATGTGTGTGTGTACATATAAATGTATACAAGTAGAAACCAGAGGTCACCTCTCCCCATCCCACCCCCACCCCTAACTTTGTTTATGGAGTCAGAGTCTCATTTGCCTTGACTGCTCTAGAGAGACTGGCTTGTCTCAGGGATCCTCCTGTCTCCACCTCGTTAGCACTGGACTTGCAACCATGCCTAGCACACCTAGGTGTCTTGGGTTGTTTTTGTTTGTTTTGCTTTGCTTTTTAAGGCTACTTGGATTAGAACTCGGGTCTTGTGCTTGCAAGTACTTTACCGACTGAGCAATCTTCCCAGCCCACATCTACCATTCCATAAACCCAAAAGGTGGTCTGACAGGGCCCAGGGAGCCAGGAAGGAAAGCCAATAAGACATGACATTGGAAAGGAGGTGAAGGTGGTGCAGTTCATGCCATTTTAAGAACTGAGCCATGTTCTAAATTCTCAAAAGGAGAAAAAGCAAGTTCAACTGCAAAGGTGGTGGACAGGCAGCAGGCCTTTACTGAAAGCCTCTCTTCAGTTAGGATCCTCGGGTGTACAGCACACTCTTTCTGTTTCCAGTTTGCTTTATAAAACTACTCGACCTCCTTTGAGGAAAAACACACACCTAAGCATAAATGTTAAATCAGGTTTCCAGTGTTCATTTGTAGGTGCCCAACCCTTAGAATATTCACTGGCTTTGTGAAACAAAGAGAATTTGGCCTGCTCATACTCTCCTTAGGCCCTCCACTGTTTTCATAGGGTCCAGGCTGCTCTTCAATTCCTGGGGTCAAGTCCTGCTGTGGCCTCTTGAGTCACTGCAGACATTTAATATCTCACCAACATGAATCTCAAATCTAGCTCTTCGCAGAACCACAAAGTTTTGTTTCACTCTGTATCCCAGGAGGACCTGAAACGTGACACCCTCTTACCCCAGCCTCCTGGGTGCTGAGATTACAATATAAGCATGCACTCTTCATCACATCTGCCAATATAGACAGTATTTTGACCCATGATCCCAAGTCTTGTCTGATCTAAATCATGAACCATTCTGCCACTCCATATCTGGAGATCTAGTCTGGCTGAATTGTATTCTGGTTCATTTCTTTCTGCCTTGAACATCTAGATAATGACTTAGAGCCCAGGCTGATACACTTCCTACCTTTTCCTGCCTGATGTGAGTTTATAAACAATGACTTGAGCCCTCAGCTAAACCCTCCATAGCCATGTTTCTGTTGCAGCACTAACACCCCAAAACCTAATCAAAATGATTGTTGTATTCATCTATCTGTCCTGTAGGTAGGGCTCCGTGGGAGCAGCTCACCTCTGTTTTGTGAGGCTCCTCTTCAGAGATAGGTCCTTAACCCAGAGGGCTTACAGTGCTGGTGGTCAGTCCCTTTCCCTTAGGCAGCCTGAGTTTCCTCCCAGGATGGTGAATGGGCTCCAAAAATAAGGATGCTAAGAGGGCCACTGTCCTTTTCCAAGGCATGGGCCCAGAAATGCCACATCTACCCAGGTTCAAGGGAAAGAACGGGGACTCATTGAAGGAATGTGATTATTAGCATTCTGTACTTTAACAAAATACCTGAGACACCCTCTAGGAGGAAAGATTTTGACTCGTGGTTTCATAAATTGTGATCTACCATGTCTGCCTGTGGTTTTAGGGCTCATGACACGCAGGATATCATGGCAGGAAACACCCAGCAAAGAGCGCTGCTCGTCTTGTGGTGGTTGAGAGGTAAAGAAAGGGATCTCAACATTCCCATCCAGACATGCTTATACCACCAGGCCTCACCTAAAGATCCCAGCACTTCCTGGGAGCACCACAAGCCTTCAACACTTGGGCTTGTGGTGGTGTTCAAGATCCAAACTGGGGCCTGGAGAGATGGCTCAGTAGTTAAGAGCACTGCCTGCTCCTCCAGAGGTGCTGGGTTCAATTCCTAGCATCCACATGGTGGCTCACAACCATCTATACTGGAGTCTGTTGCCCTCTTCTGGCATGCAGGTGTACATGCACTTAGAATATTCATATGCATAAAATAAATAAATACTATAAAAAGATATATTCAAACTGTAGTCAGGTGTTAAACTGCAGTTGTAAAGATTTTTTTTAAGGCATGTTTTTTAAATATTTTCTTTAAATGATTAAAGCTGGGCACAGTGGTGCATGCCTGTAATCACAGCATTCTGGAAAGCAGAGACAGGTGGATCTCTGTGAGTTCCAGGCCAGCCTGATCTACAAAGTGAGTCCAGGACAGCCAAGGCTACACAGAAAAACCCTGTCTCAAACAAACAAACAAACAAACAAAAAAGTAGATAAAAATTAAAAATGATTAGAAAAAGATTTTTAAAAGCCACATTTTAATTTTTTTTAAGTTGTGTATATATGTGGGCAAGGGCATGACATATGTGAATCCAAGGGTGCGTTCAGGGTCCAGAAGAAGACATTGGGTGCCCTGGAACTGGAGTTTTAGGTAGTTGTGAGCTGCCATTGAACCTTACCTGGGTCCTGGACAAGATGAGTGAGCCCACTCAAGTGCTGAGCCATCTCTCCAGCTGCAAGATTGAGTTTTCTTTTTCAGACTTCCTGGCCCCTCCAACTGCATGAGTCAAGTCCTTAAAATAGAAAAAAAAAAAAAAAAAGTCCATAGACTTTACATAATATGTTCCATTGTTTCTGTTTCTCCAGGGGATACTGACTCACTCACCCCTGCAGTATTGTGCGCCCCAGTGGTTGA